TAAACACATAATATCAATATATAAGCACGGTAACTCTCTCTCTCTAATGTTCAATCTGACACACACGCCACTAAAATGATGTCGAAATAAAATGTTTAAAAACTCCCTTCTCCCTCAACCGGGAAAGATTTTAATAACATATTTTCCGTGGTTTCTGTTCAACTAATCGAAGCGTTTCTTACCTGTGTTTAAAGATGGTAAAGACTTTATGGAACCATTTATTTCTTTAATTGGTCTTTCAAAACGTCTTCAAATTTCTTGAATTATTTGTAATTATTAAATATTAGCCTATCTCATTTACATTTAAATGTATTTAGTTGAAAATAGATTAAATGCAGTCGAGATACCGTCAGAATTTGAAATAATCAATCTTTCTCTCTCTCTCTCTCTCTCTCTCTCTCTCTCTCTCACACACACACACACACACACACACACACACACACACACACACATATATATAGTGAATGTCATGAGACAGCGAAAGTGCTGTCTGAAACTGATATAAAGAAGATGATGGACTAACGTGGACTTTATTATTTTATTATATATATATATGTCTTCCTACATTGTCTTCCTACTAAGAATTCATTTTCGAAGGCTTCTGTGACATATCCTCATCATATTGTGGTATGTATCTGTAAAATGAACTGTGACTGTGTAAGTATTCGCTGGAATATAATTTATACACTTTAAACAGCGTCCATGTTTACTTGATCCTTAATCCACAGCTAATCTTCACTTTTAACGCAACTGGCATATTGCAAAAATCAAGAAGGGCTCATGACATTTTCAGCTGATTCAACAATTGCTATCCATTGCATCAAGCTGGGGGGCTGTTGACCTTGACTGTGACCCATATCTGGAAAAGGTCATCAGGTTTGCGGCACATGCGTGGCGATCAAAGAGAGTCCAAAGTCCAATCTGGGATCTCACCAGCCATTGGTCACTCATGCCTGCAGCCCGGTGTTTACAAAATCCGCGTGCTGGTGTTTGCGTCTCGCTCATAGTTGACGGACAAGCATGTTAATTGCTTTCCTCGTTTAGCCCGTGCTCCGCGAGATTCATGTCGATTTCACATTTGGAAGACTGTCCTTATTCCTCATAGTGGATGTGTTGCGTACTTTTTCATCTTATCGAAACACCCGGCCGACCAAATGGTAAGATTGCAACATATTGTTGTTATTTACATTCCCTGATGTGACGTAATATTCGTTCAAGCATAAACAGGAAACCAGTCATTCATTGACGGCACATGCACGACACGACGAGGTCGACACGACAACTGGTGATGCAATGTCGCGTTCATCCAACTGCACGATTTTAGTTTTCGAATGTAATACATGAATATCGTGATTTATTTTTAACGTAGTGGTTATTAACGGAAGCGGTTAGATTTGATGAAAGTAATTTTTAATGCTCACTAATTCTTTAATATGGTTTGAGCGCAACTTCTGATAGTGAGTGACAGTTTGCCCCATGTCAATATTGGATCGGATGAGTGTTGGATCATTACATGGAGGGTCATGTCATGGTTGCCACGACGATTGAAGGCGATAATCAGCTCGACACTTGTGTATTAAAGCAGGCATATGATCCTAGCTTAGAAAGACGTTCGCCCGCATCCACCCTCTTAAAGTTATATATGTCGATTGTGACACTCAATCCTTTAAATATCTGTATTTATGGGCGGGGTGGGGTGGGGTGTGGGTGCGGGGGCATCTTGCCCCTAGTTTATATAAATAATAAAGACAAGTTATTACTGTATGTTCCTTAGATGCGTACTAATCTGGACTTGACAATTATAAGGATAAAAGTACTATACACCCATGGACTTATCATTCAGTACGAGAACAGACTGAATCGGAACTTTTTTCGGTTGGATAAAACGGCACCGAACTGGCTACAACGGGACCAAATTGGCTTTCTAAAACGGCACCATACATTTTCATACAGTAAATTAGGATATATAACGAAAGGAGTGTGTATTTGTGGTTTGTTTAGGCAAGACATTCACCACCAGAAGCACTTAAGTTGCATTCCATCAATATGACAAACAATATGACAGGCACCAATACAAAATTGGGAACGCATTTTTCACGTCTTAAACACTTTGTATTATTAAGAGCTGTCGTCATATAGATGGGATCTTGCTGCGTGTGGCATTAAACAACAACCAAACTAAACATATAATGTTGAGATGTGATGAACAAGTTTTACTAACTCTATAACAAATATTTTATTGTCAAAATAAATGTTCAATATGATTAAATTTACAGATAAAATTGTTCCGTTTCAGTCAGGAGTGTTGCCGTTAAGGCCAGACAAGTTTGTTCCGTTTTAGCTAATTTTGGTGCCGTCTAGCCAACAGGGAAGGTGACATTTTAGTTTTAGCTATAACCCAGAGCTACAGATAAGTAACTTGCGTACAGAAACGAATGCATTAACTGGAAAACTCAAATGTATAAAAACAGCACCCGTAAATACCCAATGAAGCTTTTTCAGCATGCGTTCAAAGGAGCTAATTTCGGAAACACAATTACAAGCTAATTTACTTTCCGAGCCGATCCAATATATTTGGAACCGTTATATATATCTAAAATAATATTTCATGTTTTGTATATTTTAAAGTGTCCACACATTTGGGGTAAAACAAATAGAGTGATGAATAGATGAGTGAACAAATATTGGTCACTCAATAAAAAATGAAATAACCCAATTAAAATAGAAACCTTCGAGTAAAAACTCAGTTGCCCAAAAGGTTATCTGGAGCTCTGAATAACCCTCGAGTACGACCTTGCAGAACGGCTACCTCAAGGATATTCAAATACATTAACCCTGGCCGTTCACGGTTACAAATCGAGTTTGTGCATATCAATTACATATTAGAACACATACTTATGATATGTATATATCCAGACAATCCAGTGATTGACATCATGAGCATCGTTCCACGCAATTGGGATACGATGGCATGCATCAACCAAGTCAGCGAGCCTGACCTCCTGATCCCGTAAGTCTCTCCTCTTACGACAAGCATTGTCGCCTTTTACGGGACAAATGTGTTGATGAAGGCCTATTCTACCCCGGACCTTCACGGGTCGTACTTGATGTATGAAGTTATATACACATACGCACACTCTATCACAGTCTCTCAGAAACAAATCAATATTCAACATTCAATATTCTCACTGTCATCCATCTAAGTAGAAAACGTATACAGACAATGTGTGCAGGAATTGATGGCCGACATGTGCACTGTGGTATGTCTTGAGTTAAACGCAGTCAAAAACAGCCCTCGGTGATTAATGGAACACTGATACCCCATTTATATCTGAGGGTAGATTACCCGCTTTATTGCTCAGTAAGCTTTGTACTTGGTAAATGACCAACCCTATCTCACCACCAGGCTGTATTCAAGAAAGCTAGTGACCCGCGCTTGACCGATAAACGGCATATTTTAAGTACTCTGTGTTCCACGGATATGTCTATACATGTAGCACAATATAGCGTGGCTTATTAGCATAAATTTGAAAACAGTCTTTTCTCCGACTTCTATTACAATGATAGTTCATCGGATATTATTTGTAAAATTTTAACATCAAACCTTTGAGATCATGTGAACAATTTGGGTGTTTTTGTGACCGCAGACTCGTCTTTTATTATGCTAATCATGATGATTATGACTGGTGTGTGTGTGTGTCATTTGTGTATCTCTGTGTGTGTGTTGTGTGTGTGTGTTGGCGCATGCGTGTGTCTGTATTAGAGATGGGACGGGTACCCGGGTCGGGTCGGGTGGGTACTGAGTACGACCCGGGTACCCACAGGAGTACTCGGACCCGTGATTAGTCACGTGATATATTGTTTAATGACAAAATGTGTCTAGAACTCTTTGGTAACACTACAAGTCACTAATGTTCGCATTTCTTTCTGATTGTGCACCCGTTCCTTCTGACTTTTCATATGGTTGAATAAAGACATAACTTAATTCAACTTCAGTATATGAATGACCAGATTGTTTAATACATGTAGTATCTAAATACGTTTTCCCAAGGCTATGCTAAAAATGTTCCCAATCGGACATTTTGAGACATCTCCCGAGACCGTAGGGTCGGGTAATAGGGAGGTGGTTACCCGGGAAGTGAGTTTGGACTCGTCCCAGCCCTAGTCTGTATGTGTGGTGGGTGTGTCTGTGTATGTATCTGTTTGTGTGTGTGTGTATGTGTGTTGTGTGTGTGTATCTTTGTGTTAATGTTTGCGCGAGCGCGTGTGTGTAACATACCTACCACATCACGACCAGAGACACCACAAATGAGCTTGATACATTTTGGGAATCGAACCAGGGTTTGTGGCGTGTCGAGCCAACGCTTAACTACCAGGCTACCCCCTTGGCCAGTCTCTCTTACAGAGCCCAGAGCAGATTTTTAATCAATCGTTCCACTCACTCAGCTCAAGCAGTCTGTACTCATCCCCACTTCAGGTCTAGACTGCAATTAAATGACTTGATGGTTCTTTAACACTCGTGAAGATCCGAGGTAGAATAGGTCGTCAGCAACATATGCTTGCCGTTAAAGGCGGCTCTGCATGTCGTAAAGGCGACTAACGGGATCGGATGGTCAGGCTGGCTGACTTGGTTGATGCATGTTTTTAGCAATATTCCAGCAATATCAAGGCGGGGGACACCAGAAATGGGCTTCACACATTGTACCCATGTTGGGAATCGAACCTGGGTCGTGGTCGTGACGGGCGAACGCTTTAACAACCAGGCTACACGACTGTCCCGTATTATGTATGAACAGGAGTTATAATGTTTGGATATTAAGATAAGATGTAAGGCTTTAAAGCAAATCCTCTTATATGCGCTTTACGAAAACTGCTGACTCGACAAACAGTGCCGCACACAAGTCAGTCGGATCAAGTATCGATCCGGTGGGAGTCGCTAACATATAGCCACAACGTATGTCTACATCCGTCAATCACTCACTGGGCACGTGAACGAAATGTACGTCGCGCCGTTCTTCCTGGTGAGATCAAACGACCGAAAAATTCACCTTATTCGGATTATTGTAAGTAAACCTCTGGTCAGTTATAAGTCTGTTGCACGGGGTTGGTTTAGTCGTATATATGGCGTGGTTCGGTTGACACGTCGACAAATTAGGAAGCTCTTTCGCTGGCCATTTGTCACAACATCGGTTTAATGCTGATCACGCTCACCAGAGACCATCAAATCCTGTAGTTTGTTGTGTCTGCACTCTCGTCGTCTTGTGTACGTTGTCTGCGAGGCGGTGGCTGGCGTGTATTATACGATTCCCCATCGATTAAACATATTGTGAATATATCCTCAAGTGATGCTTTATTGACACTTGCAGCTTGTCATTCCTGGTGTCATGTACCGACTCGTACCCCAGTCAATCAGACGGATATATCACTATATGCATGTCTTAAGTTTTTCATGAAGACCCTCAAACAAATATTTGTTTCAGGGTCTGTATGAAAGATGAAAGACATGCATGCATGCATATATATATATATATATATATATATCCATCCAATACAGTCCATGCAAGTCTATAATAGTTGGCTAGCCTAGATCGCTGCAGTTTCATTTAAACTTACATGAAGATAAACCCTGGGCTTTTATTATTATTTATTAAGATAATTTAACAACTATTGTTTATGAAAAATATTTTCATTTCAGAGACAAGAGGGTAGTCTAGCGTTTCTTCACCATGTTTTGTTTGTTTGTTGTTTAACGCCGCACTCTACAATATTCCAGCTATATGACGGCGGTCTGTAAATAATCGAGTCAAGACCAGACAGGTTGAAGCATGGCATCGTATCCCAATTGCGTAGATTGATGCTCATGATATCAATCACTGGATTGTCCGGTGCAGACTCGATTATTTACATACCGTCATCAAAAAGCTGGACAATTGCTGAGTGCGGCGTTAAACAACAAAAGAGAAGCAAAACATCATAAATTCACTGGCCTTACAGGCAGCGTTCTTTTTATTTCTAATCATGGTGACTGTACTAGTGAACAGTTATCGCCCCTTGCGTTATAAAGGGGCATTTCACGTTGCCTATTTCTCAATGCTAACGCTTTGTGTGTGGATTTCAGACCCGTGTCACTCCTTAAATGCTTAACTGATAAACCTCGTAAACGTTTGGACAAAGACGCAGACAAAGTTATAATGAATCAGATTTGCCGAGACTGAAAAATGGTTCCGTTCTTGTGTCTTTCAAGATATATTCTGTATCTTCCGATGTCTCATTTAAAACAAGGGCGGTGTGGTAGCCTAGTGTTTAAAGCGTTAGATCGTCGCGCCGAAGGCCCGGGTTCGATTCCCCAAACGGGTAAAGTCCATTTTTTGTGTCCCTCGCCGTGATATTGCTGAAATTTTTCCAAAAGCGGCGTAAGACCACACTCGGTCATTTTTAACCATTTCAAATCTCATGTATTGTCGGTAATTGACGTTTCTGAATGACATTAAGCCAACCCATCACGGTAAGATAATTCATTTGACGATACGTATATGATCCATCAGTATAACTCTATCGTCCTTGAACATGCTTCTCTTAGCCGTCTGTTTGAAACTGTATCCCAGCTGTAGTCGACTGTGGTCGACAGCTTGTCCATCCTCTATTGTTGTATAGCTTAAGGTGACCGCTGTCCAGTAGCTAGTCCCGTTATGGGGGCTCCGACTGTTTATCAGTTAACAGGGCCGATCTATAGTCGTTAGTCACTGTAGGAGGGCAGCTGTCAATCTCAGATTCCAATCAGTTGTCATCAGCTGTGGGTCAGTATTAATTCGTGTTGTCTCCCCTTGGGACCGTTAGATTGGGGAATATTTGAATTTGTGAACTAAATAGGCTATCTTGAGTTTGGAAACCCGTGACGTTATAAATGAATATAAACTCAAGACTGGTTAGTTTGGTCGTTAGTTAATCCTGTGCCATGACTGTTTTTTATATTTTTATATCTATTTTTTTTCTAAAAGTTTAGGAGGGGGCACTGGTGGCCCAGTCGTCTAAGGCGCCGCACCATACCCGTGCTCGTGGGTTTCACCGAAGTGGTAAACGTCTAAGACCTGCATCACTTCGGGCTTTCCTCCCACATTAAACTGACACGCCGCAATATCACAGGAATACTGTTAAAAGCGGCGTTAAACCTAACTCACTCACTCACTAAAAGCTTAGGCAAGTCTAGATCAAACCAAACCAAGTCTTGTTTCCTTGATTCCACAGCAGAGGGGGATAGGGTCTATTGAAAAATATAAATTACAATTATTTCATAGAAATGTTTTCACAGAAAGTTTTAGCCTTTACGTTAGTTAACTGTACTTCGTTTCATCGAATGTCACGACTAATGATGTTTCGCTATAAGCCCGTTCATGTGTTCAGTCACTGAAACGAGGATCTCAGTTGACCGATTAGCTGCGAAATTACGTTAGTGAGTGAGTATGGGTTAACGCCGCTTTTAGCAACATTCCAGCAATATCACGGCGGGGGACACCAGAAATGGGCTTCACACATTGTACCCATGTCGGGAATCGAACCCGGGTCTTCGGCGTGACGAGCGAACGCTTTAACCACTAGGCTACCCGAACGCATCGAAAATTACGTTAAACAACATTCATTCACTCACTTGTCATCTTCCCGTGGCAAGAGAGTTAACTGACTTTAAAAGTCAAGTTTACCCCTTTGCCGAACAAGGCTGGAATTCCTGGGCTCGATCGTAGCGCCACCAGTGGCTATTACGAGTAATGTCCTTTCTATGCCTCTCCTATTGACCAATCAGATTCAACCTCTCGTATCACTTGCATTTGCTTCAAACAAAACTGTGGCGCCCAGTCAAGACGATCTGATCGATAATCAAGATCTATATTGTGATCAAACGAGTCTTACATCGCGAAGTGCAACAAATCACGTGAGCACCTTGATTAAAAACATGAAAAGATATAGAAAATATCTGTTGACAACGAGTAAGCGGTGCACATGCTTTGCAAATCCTGCAGTCGACCGAAATCTGCATGACACTTTACGAACCGGATTTCGATTTCGGTGCGCGATTTTGATTGGACTATGCATAGACTCGTTCGCCCAGCCAAAATGTAACTCCATAATACCTCCATAATTGCCTCGGGAAGATGCTCACTTGTATTCTTATACAGGATTTTTTGGTTTGTAATTTTCCAGAAATATCGCTACCGAAGACGTATTGTATATACGTCTTTGGTATTTAAATCCCACGAGAACATGACAACCTCACTTTACTATCATTTTCGATAGCACTGCTTCCCGCTACATCAGTGGTCCATGGTCCACTCTCGAACACCATTTATCACTTAGAGCTATTAAAGTGGTTATTAACTTTCATAGAACCTACGTGCCCGCTCAACCCCCTGACTCTTTCGCGTACGTGACAGGTGCTATCTTCCCACTTACGTTACGTAACACGCTGGCCGTGAAACCCGATGACCCCCCATCCCCCGTTGTCTCAACAAGGCTGTTGTTTACTGACCCCATGAAATGCATGCTCGCCTCGCCTCGCCACAGCGGTGTAATTGCCGGCCTGGACTAGGTCGCTCTAACCTCAACAAATTAATCCTTAAAGTGATAAGCTCACCTGAGGTTCGGGTGGGAATATATAATCGATTATCTTCCTTTCCTCTGTCTGCACGTATGCCGTAAACTTTGTACCACCTTTCGACATTTCTGAAACCACATACATTGTTGTTTGAGCATCATATACAGGCAATCTCGATCTTTTAAAAAACGCTTCCTGATTTGCAATGTCGACAAACTTGACACGGACAGGCGTTGCATTTAATAAATGATGTTAGTTTGTATTAATGTATATCACCTCATGTCGTCCATAAATTTATTGTTTATTGATTACATTTTAATTGACCAGAGAATGAAACTATAATTACAGTCACACTGATCGAAATTTCGTTAGATGTCCAGAAAATGTATTTGACAAATTTACAACTTTATTTTATGACGGCATACTGTCCTGTGTCCATGTGTTAACGATCTGAGGGTCAGATGTTGCACCTTCATTATTCATATACTATTTCATACCATTGCCTCGTCTAAACAACGTTACGTTCAATATCGCCGCGAATAGCTGCAAAATTGCTGATGCGGTGTAAAGCAATTTTCACTCACTCACTCACTCACTCACTCACTCAGTTACATTCAATAAATAAAAACTTTAGCGTAAGATATTGTTGTCTGAGGTTGACAAAATAACCATGTATTCTGAAAGAAATGAATAATAATAATAATAATGATGATGATGATAATGAAATCAAGTTTAATACAGCGCTCAAGAGCATAAGTAATGAAAATGTCCATTGCTCAGCTTAAAGAGTATCAACTACGTTTGCATAATTCATATATTTTGTAACGGCCAATCCTTTTAGTTCAAATCAAGTTTTTATTACCTTTGTCTCCGTGTGATGTCAAGTTACAGTTTGGTATCAACTTACCAAAGCACATGCAACGCCGGTGCGACCTGGCTGACACCGTGTCAAGGCATCATGATAAGCATATGGCATGTTACATTCAAGGCCACATGAGTAGTTGACGTGTTTCCCCTGTGTGCACGACCTTGCTGTCTGACACCCGGCCTAGACTCGCTGGTCTAGTCTCGAGTACCAGCGTTTGTCGTGACAACATGTACTTCACATATCGTCATTTGCCAGGCTAGCAAACTTTGGCCCTATTTATTTTGAAATCTAATTTTAATCCTCTATGGTTGATCAAATAAAACCAATTAAAGCAAATAATTAATATATGTAATAGATGACAAGAACCGCGAAGACACGCTTTGTGACTGCCCGATACTCATAGATCTGTTCTTACGAGTGAGTTGTGTTTTACACCGCATTTAGGAATATTGCAGAAATATTACGGAGAGTTACCCCAGAAATGGGCAGGACATATTGCACCCATGTGGGGAATCGAACACGATCCTTCGGTGTGTCGAGCGAACGCTTTACGCACTGAGCTATCCCACCGCTGGTATTCTGGAGAAACCTTTTACCCCAAATCTCTG